GAGGTCGCGCGGCTGCGCCTCGCTCTCCGATGGGCCGGCCTCTGTCCCCTTTCGCGTTGGAGAGGCTGAGCCGACCGCCGGCCCGGGGCAGAGCCTGCCCCGGAGGTCTTTGCCCGGCGCGCCCCGCCTCTCCGCGCCTCCCCCGGCCTCCCGCTTCGCGCTCCCCCTCGCGGCCAGGGCCCTGCTCGCGAGCCCTGCTGTTGAATCGCTGGTCGCCGCCGCTCCTGCTCCGCCTTCCCCTCGCTGCTGCGCGCGGGGCTCACCGTGCGGCTTTTCAGTCCCCCGCTTCGCTGCCTTTGTTCGCCTTGAACACCCTCACATGCCTGTTTTAGGATTCCCCACTTTTCCCTGCACTTCGGCTCCGTGAAGCAGCTCTGCGGTTACAGCCCGGCTCCCTGGGGGCCCAGTCTCAGGAGCCTGAAGAGCTCTTTTAAAAATAATCAACGCGGGCCCAACGCAGGAACTCCTGTTTCCCTGGGGCAGCGGGAGTGGGGCAATAGGCTGCTGGGCAGAGTGGGTGGTCTTTTTGCCTGCATTTGGCAGGAGGAGTGCACCCCAGGGACCCCTGGAATGAGATTGCAGAGCGGCGCAGGCTGAGATTCCTGGAGGCCCGGCCCCTTGGCAGAGGCCCCAGCCCTGCCCTGGGCCTTCCACGTGGAGCCCGATGAGCTCATTGAGGATTTGAGCCCTGGCCTGTGAAAGAGTGACTCAGGGCCTCTGCCTGCTGCCCTTGCTCCAAGTTTTTACTACAGCTGGGTAGGAAGGTGTGCACACTGCCTTGTTCTGATAGTAGGATTTCCAAGAGAACAAAAGAAATCCTACTCACCAAAAAATAAATATTTTTTACCAAAAGCCTGACCCTCAGAGGAGCACATGGCCTTTTTCTTTAAAGGAAAAAACTTTAAAAAATAACATTATTTTCAGTGAAAGGAGATGCAGATATTTTTGTTATTGTAGTTCGGGGTGTATTTTTGTTTTACTTGCTTTGACTGGTTAGGCTTTCCTTATATACTGTGGGAAGGTAGCTATTCTTGGCCAGACTGTCCCTGAGCAAACCATCTTTCTTGTTTCTTTACAGGAAGTGGAAGCATAAGAAAGAAGCGATTTGTGTCCAGCCCCCGTTACGTGGAAACGATGCTCGTGGCTGACCAGTCGATGGCAGAGTTCCACGGCAGCGGCCTAAAGAACTACCTTCTCACCTTGTTCTCGGTGGCAGCCAGGTTGTACAAGCACCCCAGCATCCGAAATTCAATTAGCCTGGTGGTAGTGAAGATCCTGGTCATCTATGAGGAACAGAAGGGACCCGAAGTGACCTCCAACGCTGCCCTCACTCTGCGCAACTTCTGCAGCTGGCAAAAGCAGCACAACCCACCCAGTGACCGAGATGCCGAGCACTATGACACGGCGATCCTTTTCACCAGAGAGGTGAGAGGAAGGGAGTGCCAGTTATGATGGGCTCTTCTTGGGAGTCGGCTTTGTAACATGTCTGGAAGGCATTTCACCGATTTGGGGCACTTGCATTTTTTTAATTGGCTAGCGTGGTCAGTCATCCTCTATTTCTTCTATAATTTTAATGTCTCAGGTTTCACAGTCCTGTTTGAAAAGCATTAGGAAAAATCTTAATTAAAGTCACACAGAGTATTCCTAAAAGGACAGGTCAACAACAACGGATGTAGATGCTCCAAGACATATGTGAAGATACACCCTACCCAAAAGACCCCAAAGTGTGTGCCATGTCCCTATTAATAAGGATATGCCTTTGCTCCTTACAGGATCTGTGTGGGACCCAGACCTGTGATACTCTTGGGATGGCCGACGTTGGGACTATATGTGACCCCAGCAGAAGCTGCTCTGTGATAGAAGATGATGGTTTACAAGCTGCCTTCACCACAGCCCATGAGTTAGGTAAGTCTGTTTCGGAGAAAGTGTTAAGCCCAATTTCTGAATTCAGACTGATAAACATTATATTAATTTGAGAGAGCGAGCGTCTGCAGGTTCTATTGCTATTTTAGATGCCAGGGCTTCTTAGAAACTGCAGAAAAGAGTTATTCTAAACATGATCATCTTTATTAGAATACAAAGTAAGATAGTTGGAGCTGTGGACATTTGGATATTGTACATTTTTTCCCCTCTGGAAATATCCCTATTGGGAACAAAATATTGCAAAGTGACCTCTATTTTAATGTGGGTTTCGGATTGCTTCTTAGGCCACGTGTTTAACATGCCACACGATGATGCCAAGCAGTGTGCCAGCATTAATGTGGAGCGGGATTCCCACATGATGGCGTCAATGCTTTCCAACCTGGACCGCAGCCAGCCCTGGTCTCCCTGCAGCGCCTACATGATTACCTCGTTTCTGGACAATGGTCACGGTAAGACACTCCAGCTACTCTTTCTAGATGGCATCTAACCTGCCACATGTGGAGTTCTAATTAAATGGGCTCATTTTTCTGTTGTTGTTCTTGATATTTTCCCTCCTTCAAAATTACTTCCATTGCTGGGAGCATACATTTTATAGATCTTAATCCCAATAAAAGATAGTGCTTCTGGCCTAGTCACTCCCAACATACATTAATTTGAGTTTTTAGCAGAACAATAATTCCCTGTCATTGTTAATGCAGAAATACCCCATTGAGGATAGCATCTTCATTTTAATTTCTCTGGCATCTTTCCCAAAAGGTCGACAGCTTTCAAATCATTTTGCTATATATTGTCTCTTATGATAAATATTTGCTGAAACTGACCCACCCCCTACATGCTTTCATTTATTATTTATTAACATTGGTTGGCACTGTGTTTTTTTCTGCAGGGGAATGTTTGTTGGACAAGCCCCAGAGCCCCATCCAGCTCCCCTCTGATCTTCCGGGGACCTTGTATGATGCCAGCCGGCAGTGCCAGTTTACATTTGGGGAGGAGTCCAAACACTGCCCAGATGCAGCCAGCACGTGCACCACCCTCTGGTGCACGGGCACGTCTGGAGGGTTGCTGGTGTGCCAAACCAAACACTTCCCTTGGGCAGACGGCACCATCTGTGGAGAAGGGAAATGGTGTGTCAACGGCAAGTGTGTGAACAACACCGACAAGAAGCATTTCGATGTGAGTTTTCTGCCCATGCCCCTACTCCTTTAAAAGTCAGAACTGAACGCAGTGATGTGAGAATGTCTGCTCTCACGTTAAACACCCCTCTCCCCTCTCCCTCTCTGTGTTCTCGGGTGGGCACAAGATAGATTATCTTTATAATTGATTCTTTGTTTCATATTTTTCTCTAAGGTCTTTGTAGAGAATTCTAACGCTGATGACTTGTGTCCCCATTTAGACTCCCGTTCATGGAAGCTGGGGGCTGTGGGGACCCTGGGGAGACTGCTCGAGAACCTGTGGCGGAGGCGTTCAGTATACGATGCGGGAATGTGACAACCCTGTCCCAAAGAACGGAGGGAAGTACTGTGAAGGCAAGCGCGTGCGATACAGGTCGTGCAACATCGAGGACTGTCCAGATAATAATGGTGCGTAGAAATGGGGAGAAGACTTGCCCAGCAAGAGGCAGTTGAGGAGTGGAAACTGATAATACGGTCACATTGTCTTTCCAGGAAAAACCTTCAGAGAGGAGCAATGTGAGGCGCACAACGAGTTCTCCAAGGCTTCCTTCGGGAGTGGGCCCGCAGTGGAGTGGACGCCCAAGTACGCGGGCGTCTCCCCCAAGGACAGGTGCAAGCTCATCTGTCAAGCCAAAGGCATCGGCTACTTCTTCGTCCTGCAGCCCAAGGTAGTGACTTTTCCACTTACTTTTTGCCTAAGACCCAAGGCCTGGGCTTGCTACCTTTTCATGCAACCTATGAGGAGGCACTTTCTTTAATTTGTATATTAACATGTTCAATTTCAAGTTAGAATTCATTTTCTTCTGGACACCTCGGCGACTGTCAGATTTAAGCTTGGTGTCATTCAGAGTTATGAAGGACGCTTGAATCCAGCATTTATGAGTCTGCAATTGCTTATTAATACTCTTATAAACAAGAGCCCCTTGCTACTGGTTAGATAAATTATGTATTAACATGGCAACCCACCAGTGGTTTTGGACAATAGCCTAAGCATAGTCCAAAGTACTTGTTACCGGGTGACTGGCAAGAGCTTGTGCAAACAGACTTATTAAAATGCACGCCTGAGCTCTGACACCTTCTGTGGTTAAGGACATATATTGAACTAGAAGAAGCATCATTTTGCTGTTTGGCTGAGGAGAGGCACGTGGCTGAGGCAGAACATGGTATTGAATTTGGTTGAGATGCCATGTGTCGTTATCACTCTAGGCTATAAAAATATTCCCCAGTTGCAGATTCAATATTTAGTAAGTGACTTATTCAGCATCTGCTATTGCCAAGCATTATTCTGGGCACTGAGGATAGAGCAGGAAAAAAGATTGACAAAAAGTTCTGCTTTCATGGACCTTAGCTAGAAGTGAGAAAAGTCAATAAACCAAATAATCAAAAAATGTGCAATTTTTTCAGATGTCTATATGTACTATAGGAAAAGAAGACAAAGAGAAGGGGTAGTATAGGACGTGTACAGAGTACTGTCTTATTGTGATGGCCAGGAAATCAGAGATGGCACGTTAATGAGGGAAAGTGTTATAGTTCTAGCCTCATGTCTTCCCTTGTTAGCGTGTGACACCAGATACATGTTCTTCCTTCCTCAGGTGGTGGACGGTACTCCATGTAGCCCGGATTCCACCTCTGTCTGCGTGCAGGGACAGTGTGTAAAAGCCGGTTGCGATCGCATCATAGACTCCAAAAAGAAATTTGATAAATGCGGTATCTGTGGAGGAAATGGCTCTACATGCAAGAAAATATCAGGATCGGTGACCAGTTCAAAGTAAGTTTTAAAATGCCACACTCCCAAAGAGCATACCGTTTAGATGTCACTTTTGACAGGTCTGGTAAAAAAGCGTATTCTAAATGATCACCGTGGCTTCAGGCTAAGCCACGCTGAAGTCAGCCAGTGAATGAATGAGCCATCTGTCGTCTGCTTTTCTTGCCTGCAGGCCTGGCTACCAGGACATCGTCACAATTCCAGAGGGAGCCACCAACATCGAAGTGAAACAACGGAACCAGAGGGGCTCCAGGAACACGGGCAGCTTCCTGGCCATCAAAGCCGCCGACGGCACGTACATCCTGAACGGCGACTTCACCTTGTCCACCTTGGAGCAGGACATCATGTACAAAGGCAGTGCCCTGAGGTACAGCGGCTCGTCGGCGGCGCTGGAGAGGGTGCGCAGCTTCAGCCCCCTCAAGGAGCCCCTGACCGTCCAGGTCCTGACCGTGGGCAACGCCCTTCGGCCTAAAATCAAGTACACCTATTTCATGAAGAAGAAGAAGGAACCGTTCAACGCCATCCCCACCTTCTCAGAGTGGGTCATCGAGGAGTGGGGCGAGTGCTCCAAGTCCTGCGGGCTGGGGTGGCAGCGGAGGCTGGTCGAGTGCCGGGACCTCAACGGGCAGCCTGCCTCAGAGTGTGCCAAGGAGGTGAAGCCGGCCAGCACCCGGCCGTGCGCCGACCTGCCCTGTCCCCACTGGCAGCTGGGCGACTGGTCGCCCTGCTCCAAGACTTGCGGGAAGGGCTACAAAAAGAGAACCTTGCAGTGCGTGTCCCACGATGGGGGGGTGTTGGCCCACGAGAGCTGCGATGCCCTGAAGAAACCGAAACATTACATAGACTTTTGCACCGTGGCAGAGTGCAGTTAAGGGCTCGGCGTGGAGGGAGAGAAGGGGTGGGAAGGGCTGAGGCACTGAAATCAAGAAGGCTGGAGGGATCCAGTGTCCCCTGCTGGTGATGTCGGTCCCCGGCTCCCGGTACCCACGCAGCGCTGGCTGTCGGGGGCTTTGGGACATGCGAAGCCCGAGGATGAGAGTCTTAGTTTAGGGCCTGGCTTACTTTACCTCACTAGCAGCGGAGGGAGAGAGGGGTACAGAGAGGGAGGAGTTTTGACCAGCGCTGTTTTTGGTTGCGATGGTTTCCGGGAACGTTTATGGCATCTTTTCTACCCAGAGTTAAGAATTCGAGAATGTCCACCATGGAGAAAAAAGCTTAGCGACGTCAGAGGACTCCATCATTACCCTTTTGGGCCTCTCTCGTGTCTTTGTGCATTTCTTTGGAAGAAGACACAATTGCATGTGTCTGTAAAAATGCATCAAGTCTCCAGGGGGAGAACAGCTGCGATGTGTCGGGTGCCGGTAAAAACCAAAGGAGGCGCCCCCAGCTCGGCACCTCCTGCCTCTTTCCTCCTTGTGTAAGCCTGTGTTAGGAGTGTGGATGTGAAAAAACAGGTTGAGTCTCAAGAAAGTCAGCAAGATCACGCAAAAAGGCTGCAATGCCAGAACAAGACTGGGGTGAGCAGAACTGGGTCCCCAGTGTTTGGGGACAGTGAGATCATTTGTCTCGTGGTGGGGAGGCTACTGAGGGGTAGCAGGTCCATCCCCAGCAGCTGGTCCAACAGTCATATCCTGGTGAATGTCTGTTCAGCTCTTCTACTATGAAAGAGAATGACCTTTTCCATATGTATATAGTAAAATATGTTACTATACATTCTATGTACTTTATAAGTATTGGTTTGTGTGTTCCTTCTAAGAAGGACTACAGTCTGTAATAAATGCCTATAATAACATATTTATTTTTATACATTTCTTTTTAATGATAAAACTCTTAAGTTATATCGTGATTGTAAAAGGGCATATAAAAATAGAGTATTTATACAATATATGTTACTAGAAATAATAAAAGAACACTTTTCAAATATATGTGTATATTTTTTTTAAGTGGGAATTTATAGGAAGGAAATCAGACAAATACTGAATTTGAAGGAGTATTTTCTTAAATTCTTTGGAAATAAGATTTCATTCTAATGAAATGTATTTTATGTATCCTGGATTATGTGATTGTTACAAAGAAAGGAAGCTATGGTATCTTTAGCAATAGATAGGTTTGTTACTAATGTATGATATACACAAGTGGTTGGCAGACTGTTTCTGTAAAGAGCCAGATAATAAATACTTTCAGCTTCGTGGCCGGTACCACCTCTATCACAACTACTCAGATGTGCTGTTGTAGCATGAAAACAGCCAAAGGCAATACATAAATGAATGGGCATGGCAGTGTGCTAATAAAACTTTATTTACAAAAACAGGCAGCGGGCCAAATTTATTCTTTGGGGGTAGTTTGCTGACCTCTGATGCGTAGCATAAGTTAAATGAAAAAGGTGGAATTCTGGAAGTATTTAGAATTTGTATGTCTTTCTCAACCTTATCACATAACTAAAATTAGGTGGAAATATTTCACCTACTGACCAGAAAACGATTCCTTAAATTACATTTAGAATAGTCACAGTGAGCCGAGGCGGCCAAATGTTCCACTTTCTCTTCAGAAATACCTGAGGTGCATCCAGAGAAACCCTGGAACACCAATAGCATTCTGGGTAGCCGCCTATGAATGACTATATTTTAAATACTAAATGGTACATCAATGATTTTAAAATTACAGGCTTCTTCCAAAGTGCCTACCTTTCAGGGAATAGCTGATGTACTAGAAGTCTTGGATTATGTGGTTAACCACAGACATTTCCAACTTCACACTTCCATCCTTTATTCACCCTCCTTCGAATGGTTTCCTCAAATAGTTCTATGTAACATGCTAATTTCAGATTCAGATGATAATTTATAATTACTCAGTGCTCTTCCCCTCAGCAATTGAACGAAGATTCTCAGGAGCCAGGCATGTAAGTCAGACAGTAGCACATGGGAAGGGAGAGTCATGTTAATCCCTGGTTAAATTTTGACTACTTACTGGGTCACTGGCCTGAAAAGTAAAAGCCAAGTCTTTTCACACTGGGGACTAGTTCTGGCGCCATAGAACTCAGTTAAACCTTGGATTTGGCCATGTACTTCAATGGCCTAACGTGCTCCCTGCACCAATAATCTCCACCCCAATTATTTATTTACATACATTCCTATGGCACTCAGGAGCAATGTGGTGGATGCCCGCACCCTCAATTACTGTGCAAGCTATTTGATAAAATGAGATAAATGTACCTAAAATGATAACCCATAATATAAAGAAGTCATTTTCAGATCTTGCCTAAGTCATTGATGAGTCTGTTACTTTTAAAAGGAGTATATCGATTTGACATAAAAAGCAAGGACACCAAAATTTAGGACACACAGAGGTAAAAACAGTCAAAAGATTTCCCACTGTTCTCTGTATTCTCAATGCCAAAAACTTTCTAAGTCATCACGTTATTTTTGTCAGCCCTCTGCTGGTGAGATTTTCCTTTTATTAATAAATGGAGCAGTTTTAAAATATCCAAAATTGAGAGCAAAGAGAGCTTAGTTCAAACACATTTTGTTCTGCCCTGGCTGGTGTGACTCAGTTGGTTGGGCATCGCCCGGTGCACGGAAAGGTTGCCCGTTCGAATCCTAGTGGGGCACGTCCCTGGGTTGGGATGGGTGTGTGTGCAGGGCATGGCTGATCAATGTTTCACTCTCCCTTCCTTTCTTTCTAAAATTCAATAAAAATATTTTTAGAAACACACACATCTGGTTCTGTGAGCTTGATCAGGCACCTGTTAAAAGGAGGAAGTATTTTGCGCTTGCTCATGGTACAGGTATAAATGATGAGCTGTCATGATAGGGAGTATTAATTAAAATTAATGTGCAAACCACTCAATGGGCACTTTCTCTAGCATTTCAATAACTACCACATGAGCGCAATTTTTGAATCAGAGCTTTCATGCAAAAATTGACAAAAATTGTTCCTAATTTTTGCTCCCTTGTTGAGTCTGTCTTTAGAAGAGGGCACTGCAGGTCTTTAAGTGACTTAGAAATAATAAACAACAGCCACAAATTGTTAATCTCATTGATTTTCCAAATAAAATTAAAATTAAAATTTTTCATCTAGAGGTTGGGAGTGCTAGCTCTATCAAGAAAATGGACCAAATGTATCCCAGTATAAAGTATAGTGTGTTCTTCCATGCACAGACTTTTGTGACATGAATGAGCTCATGTGACATTGACAGAAATGCAAAGAGTAAAACATGGAAGATGCTTTGGTTTATCCACAAGTTTTCCCAGCTAAAAAATGTTTTGTACCTTTTCCTTAGAGCAGTGAAACACAAACTATACTAACTCATGTATATGGCAAGTCACAGAGAGAACAAGAGAGAACGCGCACTCACCCCGTTTGTCTCCGCCTGGCTACTAACCCAGTGGTGTTTACTGCCTTATAACACGTCAGTGGAAAGGACCTATCATCTAACCAGGGCATCGAACCAGGGTAGATGCTTCTAAATTGTCTCTTGTTTCAAAAACTAAAGCTAGTTACTGGAGTAAAATGGTATGCCTGGAATTTCCTTTAAAATTTTGAATCAAGAATAGAAAAGGTGGTATAGATAAAACTAGATGAGCAAATGATAATTGTTTCTGCAGACTGGTGGATAGACAGATAAGACTCATACTTTGTTTTCTACTTTTGTGTAATTAATTTTTTCTATGCTAAAAAGTAAAGAAGAAAAATTTTTAAAAAATCAAAAAGAAGTTATATTTTTTGTCCAATTTATAAATCAATGCAAGTATTTGAAGTCATTTATATAGGACATATATTTATACCCTTTTCTACTCTTTTACATGAGAATAAATGTATTTACAATACACATACTTAAAAACACTGAAACACCCTCTAAAACAGCTTGGTACAGCTTGCAGGAGAAAATCAGATGATAACTAAAAGATAAAGAGAAATAGAAGGAAGAGAGGAAGGGAGAAAAACATGATTTTTATTTGTAGCACTAAAATATAAGGCAATTAACTACGTTCTTTGTTGTAATAAGCTGTGAATATATCATTTTTCCTACAGAAACCTAATTTAAATACCATCACAGGTTGTTAAAAACATTCGTTGTTTCATATTATAGACTTCTGCGACTTTTGTTTTGCACCAAGAAGAAACTTAAGTAGAGAGAGTGAAAATGGGAATACCGTGTTTTGCTTGTGTGTATCCAAAATTCAATCTTTTTTTTTAATTCTCACCAGAGGATATGTTTGTTGATTTTAGAGAGGAAGGGATGAAATGAGAGAGAGAGAGAGAGAGAGAGAGAGAAACATTTATCAGTTGCCTCCTGCATGCACCCTAACTGGGGATGGAACCACAACCTAGGAATGTGCCCTGACCGGAATCAAACCCGCAGTCTTTCTGCGTATGGGATGACACTCCAAGCCTGCTGATCCACTTGGACAGGACCCAGAATTCAATCTTAATAATAACAACAATAATAATAAACCTCATGGCTACATGAACTATATACCAAAGGATAGTGATAGATAGGTGATAGACAGATATACATTTTATACACGTGAAAGTAAATCTGAGTGAAAACGAAGAGATGGGAGTTCATATGAAGACCCTTGGAGGGATTCTCAGTTCCCAAAGTTGGAGGCAAGACTGCTGGTGAGGCAGGAACACAGTAGTCGGCCCAAATACAGTCCACATTTGACAACCTTGAAGTTGAAGGTGAGGGAGCTCAGTGAAAGATGAAATAAATAGGCCAGGATCAAAGATCTCTGGTTTTTATCTGAAGCTCTTCGCCAGATGGATTAGATTAGTTGTGTGCAGAGATCCTGTCTTTTTTTCTTCTTTAAAGTGAGCGAAGAGCTTACCAGGTCTCTGCAGCGTGCTCCAGAAAAGCAGAGACGTGCACCAAATAAAGAACACAGCAGCTGAGCTACCGCCCGCAGTGAGGGATGTTATGATAGCGTTCTGGCTTTCCACTTACTTCAAGTTGCTTTACTCAGTTCCGAATGTTCCAGAACCTTTCACCTTCAAATGTTTCACCCCACTAGTTAAGGAGAATAGAAGCAAAAAGCTTGGCTTGCATCTCCACTCGTCTCAGAGCAAGCCAGAGGCACTGACAAAAGGGATTGCAAAGGACACTTGAGGGGAAAGGGCAGAAGAGCGGGGCACGCACCACCGCGAGCTTGATAAACAAATTCTGAATGAGCGGCAGTTGGCTGGAGGCCTTCGTTTCAAACAATGAAGACGCACAATCTCAATTGCTAGATCTCCAAGATTTTGGGCAGGGTCCCCAGCTCTTAAAGATCCCTAGAGATGTTATCTAGTTATCAAAGTACAAGATATTCTGGAATGTTCTCTATAACACTATAACAGTTTCTTGGAAGTGGGATATTAGTGAAACCCTGTATTTTTCTCATTAAAGCACTCTTGCACTCATACCAATACTCTAATTCTCTGCATTGTTAATATCCTATAAGTAGACAGGAATGGTGATAGAATTTCCTGGTAGGAACCTTCAACCTGGAGCTCAGAATTTGAGACACAACTCTACAAGACTGCGAAAGAAATCAGAACATCCTGTTTTGTCTTTGGCCTAAGCTCTCCCACTTTCCTTTCTTAAAACAAAGGCCATTTACCAAAAGCCGTGACAGCTAGCTAGCATTGCATTTTTTTCTTTAGCAATCATGTGCATGGGAAACATTTAAGATTAAAATGCAAACAAAGCCAAACACCTGGAAGAGCTTTTGATCCCACACAGTCATAAACATGTCTAAAAACCTCACTTCGGGCTACACAAAATCACACACAGTTGAAACACAGCAATATTCAATTCTTAGCACAACTGGGAGAAGACAAAAGGTATAATTTCACAAGAGAATTAAAAAAGCACTATAACAGTTCAGAATTAGAGAACTGAGTATTTATTTTTCAGACAGATTTTGCCATCCACCAATTGTGGGACTTCAGGGGGAAAACACCATGCCATTAATTCTTTCTAGCATATCTGACTTAAACCATCAGCAACCACAAAAAGATACAATCTAAAATGGGAGGTTTCGTTAATTAGAGAGCATCAATAACAATGAAGTTGTTTGTCTTCAGGTTACTGGATATTACACTTATTTATATTCAGAACCCAAAAGAGAGAAGAAACTAATACTGTGAAAATAAATGCTTACTTTTCAGTACTATGCTGACGGAGACCGCTGGAGAATCGATTCTCAA